ATATTAATATGATATATTTAATATACTCTTAAACAACTTTGTTTTATGAAATACGCCCCCCGACGTCAACGGCTTCGTTATTTCAATCTTTGCATTCTTGGAGGTTAAAGTTTCATATAACGTCAGCGTAGTCCGGAAGTTCATTTTATTGGTCTGAATAGAAGACATTCATAAATTAAATTTCGATGGATGCAGTTCTAAATGGAATTAATATTGGAACATACAATCGTACAACCAAACAAGCGACAACGAAAAGCGATAATATCAAAAAAGTATCCTCTAAAAAATTTAGACCTTTAAATCTTTAAATGATTATCTAATTAAAAAAAAAGATTCCAAAAAATTTAAATCTTTAAAACTTTAAATGATTATCTAATAATAATATTTAAATCTTTAAAAATTAAATGATTATGTAATAATAATACCTCAAAAATTTAAACCTTTAATACTTTAAATGATATTATCTAATATAATATATTACCACGAAAAGTAACTGATATATTATTAAATGTACCAGTTCAAAGTGAACATACATAAAGTATATTTTCTAAGTTTAATAATATATTACCACGAAAAGTAACTGATAGATTATTCAAGGTGCAAATTCAAAATGAACATATATACATATAAGTAAAACAGATTACAATTTGCAGATTACAGTTTTCTAGAAAATAACTGCAATACGTTATTCTTAGTGCACAAAATAATAAAAGTCGGTTATTGAGATTTGATTTGAAATTTATATACTAGATCGTACAATGAAAAATAATTCCCTGTAATGTCAATTTGTTAATGACTCGAAAAAGAACATGGCGGCCTTCTCACATTTCGACCGCTTGTATCTCCGGAACAGCTTGACCGATTTTAAATTTTTTCAGCTCAAATTACTTGTGGCGATGCTGCCTTTCAGGACATATAATGTTCGATTCAAAATTTTTTATATTTTAGAAGTTATGCACCCCACAAAATTGGACTTTGGTAATTCGAGATAAGAGATTTGTAGTGTCTACTAGCTATTATTAATTTTTCATATATTAACTAGTAGTTTTTGAACATGGCCGGAGACACTACCGTGTCTCCTGATTGACAAGAAAGAGAGAGAGAGATAAGGAGAAAGACAGACTGTATGTACACACTTCGAGCAATAGATGATATAATAATATGAATCAACGAAGAAGACCGAATTGATATAAAGGCCAAGGGAAGAAGTAATCGCGTGGTAATCGTGTCGATCGGACGAACACTGATAACCAGATCATTTGTAAGCGATTATGATCGAAGGACTGTATGGCGTTTGTTCCCATACGAAATTATTACAAATTTCACATCCATAACATTTTTGATTTTCATAAAATTTCATGAAAAAAATTTAATTTTCTCTGATATATACTTTCAATAATATTTCAAAATTTTTTATACTTTTCCTCCTGATGTGGACCGTCAAATATTTTATTGCGAGAGCAGTTTAACATGGCAATATAAATCACTATTATATTAATGTTATTGATACCGCTTTCATTGAAGTCGATAGTCCAAAACTATGTAAGTGTGACTTACGAATATTAAATTTCTTGATAATCAAGAATTCTAATTGTTTAGTTAATTTTATAAAATTTCTTGACTTTTCTTTGATTTCCATGATTGATTTCAGTTTCTTTGATATTTTTCTAATTTTCAATTTTGTGACAATTCTACACTATACATTATATACTATTCACGTTCTTTCCTTTCCTTTCCCTTCTCCATTTCTTTCTCTCTCTCACACATACACACACACACCACACAAAATTAAATCAGATGGACATCGCTTATGGGAAATTAAGAAGATTAATAAAAAATGAGAGTCTCGATTAAAACTATTAATTCGGATCTCAAGTTTTAACATGATATGTCGGTCATCCCGGAAGAGATCCAAGATCGCGAGCACTGAGACTGTATGGGCTGAAATTGCGGGCTATGTGATCGTGATGATGATTTCGAATTAGATGATCTAGCGCAACGTAATACAATAAAAAAACTTTCTATATTGGTGTTAAAACCGATCTACTCAAGTCCTTGTTAACATTTTATGCCGAATTGTTAGTATATTCGAATGTTAATTTAACATAATGTGATTGTGTTATTTGAATATTTCGTGTTAAATTGATATTCTTTTAGTTAAAATAACTTAAGTGAAAAAATTACATAAAAATAATGTTTTTTTTTCTTAATGTAAATTTTAAGATAATTGAATAAAATGTGTTAATTTAACACATAATATTAATTTTAATGAAAAAATATGGTTGCTTACAAGTTGTGTTAGTGTTTCACTTCTTGTGTTAATTTTTTACATAATATTTGTATTATTTCCTAAAATATACATTTTGTCAACATCTTAAAATAGTCTCTCTTCGCATTTTTCTAACTTATTTTAATCATAATTGTATTTTGATACAATTTTACAAAGTAATTAATTATCTTTTAATTTAATTGTTACTAAATTAACAAAATGGATATGAGTTACTTACGTTATTTTGTAGTCTTACATTATATCCATTTCAATTTATTGCCTTGTGATTTGACTCTTTTACTGATCAATTGACTCTTATATTATATTCTTTTTGTTATATTCTTTTTTTATTATTTTTATCTATTACTGACATTGTTTTTATTATGTTACTATTTGATTTAGAAATGTGGAGTTTCACAATTTACAATATTTGATGTCTTGCGTTGTCGATGGACTCTTGCCATTTTACTCCGATACGATATGTTCTTCAATAGCGAGTGAGATTAATAATACCCACATCACAGAATGTATATTCTTATTTTTCGTTTTTTATTAATATTTTTACTTATGTATTCGTGAATTTTTATAATTTCTTTGTTTGTACATCGTTAACGATATTGCGACTTAACATTGATAATGACCTAATTAAGGTCGAAACGTCTGTTTTTAAATTTTATTAAACTTTATATTTATTTTTAACTAATGACATTTTATATTTACTAAGACCTTTATATTTCAACGAATGTTGGCTCGTAGCCCTGTTTGTATTAATTATTTTTTAAACATTTTGTGTTAAATTAAAACAAAAATTTAAATTAATGCAATATTATCGTTTATGTGCTCCATGATGATTTAGGTAAATGCTTGGATGCAGCAAGTCGACGTGACGTTTTTCGTCGTTCTGCACTATTTCAGAGGAATGCCCAAAATGAGCGACCGTTGTTAACATTGTCACGAAAGACCGTCTCGAGCTGTCACGTGTCCTGACGAGGGATAAGTCCGGGATCAAAAATTCCATTCTAATTCCATAATACTTTGATACGTATTAGACGGTGACGCTTACAACGTGTGTTACACGGCGATGTAGCAAAGTAAATTATTAAGTAACACCCCCCCGCGGTTAATTGATGGCAATTTCTCACCCTCTTTTTCCATGCCTCATGCGCGGCTCGTACCAAGCAACCCGACTCCTCTGAAACGGAGAAGGAAAACTACGAAAGTTGCCGACAGATGCGTTTAAAATGGAGTATCGCGAGCAAATGAAAATTAGTACGCTAACTAGATGATACTCGAGCAATATCCATCGTTAATATCTCGAGAGCCCGAAACTTTCCATAGAGGGTTTATATCCCTCGTGTTTTCGATCGCGTCGACCCCGCGGAATTCGCAAGGAGAAACGCGCGAGGCAGAGAGAGAGAGGGCGCACAATGCGAACGGCAGAAATTCCGAGACTTGAGATCTTATTCCCGAAGAAACTATCCGCATAATGTATGAAAATATTATTAATACATATAGGTGGAATCTAACTCTCTAAAGAATGAAAATCCTCACCTTTAGAAATTGACAACTGAGCCACGCTCTTTTTTCAACGTCGATTCAAAATTGTCGCACTTCTTCACTCCTCCGAAATTAGATTCCACTCCAAAGATTTTAAGAGAGTGTAGTGTGTCTTTGTACGTGATATTTTTTTCGAGAATAAGACCCTGAGGCAGTCGATCAATGCCGGATCCGGCGTGACCGTGAGATCCGTGTGAGGACATGGGCGCGAGTTGCGACAGAAGCGCAGCGGACCGTTGCCGCTTTGTCAATGGAGATGGCCAACTGTGCCCATCCTGTGTGCATTGCGCGACAATGATCATCGTATAGCTTTTTACGAGCCCCACTATACCCATTCGCAAACACTATCGCTCGCGGTCGCATTGCCGCGCTTTTAGTCGTCGGTTATCCGTATGCCATCGTACTCGCGCCATCGCGACACGACCTTATACCCCGGCGCTCGTCTTTCTGTCCGGTCGAAGGGGGACTTCGTTAAAAGTCTAAATTACGCTAAAGCATATAAAACGCAAGCGAGATGCACCGGTCGCGCCAATTGCGCCGAGCGCGACCGAGATCTCGGCGCGGACCGCTCGCGTCACATTTCCATGTCGCGACGTGGAACAGCCGGACGCGCGAACTGATCGTATATCCGATCCCGGTTTGACTCGATTTGTCACTTTTGATGTAATATACCTTCGATTCGGTGACTCGTGGAAAAACGTCAACGGAAAAGTTCTGCAGTCTTGTGGACAAATGGCGATCCGTCCTAAGAGTGGCGCTTGTTAACGAGCTCGACGCTTGTTTAATGTTAAACGTTAACGAGGAAAGCAAAGCTCCGACTTGGATGTAATAATTGAGTAAAACGCTCACGCAGAAAGGAACTGTCTGGTAAAAGCGGGCCAAGGTGTCAAAGACGTCAATCGTCATAACACATTAGCGACCACTGATTACCGCCCCCCCCGTCCCCGTCACAGCGAAATCCCTCGTCACGAGACTCATTCACTAACGATTGTCGTAAACGTGGCAAACGCGTGATCTGTGATAGTCACAGTACGTTCAGCGACCGCGCACGACTACCCACCTTTCTCGATTACAATCAATAGCGCGAGTGAATCCATATCGAGAGGTATATAACGCGGTTCGGCGCGGATCTGACACGAGAAGGCGAATCTGTTCACGAGATTTGTCATCGTCTAATCGAGTAGATATAAAAGAGATCGATTGATCCCTCGATTTGCGTGTGCGTATCGCATTTTGAAATCGAAGAAAATTAAAATAGAGGATATATCCAGCACACGTAAAGGAGAATAAACGAAGTCTCTCGATTCGCTCGGTCGACGAACGTCCCGTCGGAGAATTTTTTAACGATAACTGACCGTGAAAAATGGACATCGAGATGGGTGGCAGAACGACGAGTAAACCCAGCGAGGAACTGGCGAAGAGACGAGTGTCGATCAGCGATCAAGTAATCGGAATCGACAATCCTGCCTTCGAGCACCACCGGCGCATCAGCGCTAGTTCGGAGCATAATTCAGATCAGGGTAGGCGGAAATCAATCTTGCATCACGGTAGTCACTGCGAGAGCATGGAGAATATTCCGCAATACAAGCTCGATCTGGAGAACGGCAGGATCAACGGCAACAGAAAGAAATCGGCGTACAGCCTATCCAGCTCGATCAGAGACAAAATCGAGTATTCCGAAGAACTCAAGAGGTGAGATCCGATTATCGGTCGGTAAGCTCCGCAAAGTCTATTTGTCGATACTTCCGAGGAGATAAGCACGCGTCTGGATTATTATTTTTTTTTTTTTAATTCAGATTGACTTAGATTGGACGTCTCTTAATATTTCTGCGCTGATCGAATGAGAGCGATAAATCTGTAATCGTTCCATTCGGCAAAACAACGAAATGCAAACAAAAGTGCCAGCGTACGTCCTTCAAAAATACACTCGCACGGTTGGTGATAATAAGTCACGTTGCAACAAAGTAAACACCTCCTCGATAATGAATGACAATAAGTAATATTTATTATATAGTTTCTTTTTATTATATCGTTGCAAATTAAGTGTGACTTTTTCGCGTTAGATTCAATTTAGCGTGAAATTTTAGCTTCGGAATTTAGCTTCTAATTTAGATTGCAAATAATAGTGGACGTATTTCGATTGACGCGAAGCACTTTGTTGCTTATCGAATCCAAGAGATCGATAAAATGAATTCTTCTCAAATTTTATTCGTTATCATTCTTGTTTCGTAACGTTTCTCTCTACGATAAAAGCATTTAATGTCGACAACTTGTAAATAATATTTATTAGAAGTATACGTAATTTATTGAGGGAGAATTTTTAAGCTTTTATAATATTTTTAATAATTTTAAATATCATATAAATCAAATATGTCATATAAATCAGATTTCTTTTAATCGTCGTCGTCGTTTTCACTTCACCGCTTTTTGCGTCATGCGAAAATTCAAAGATCAAAGGAAACGTGTTGATTTATTTGCTAGTTGGTTTTTAGGTATCTCAAATCGACGAGATCGACAAAACTATTTGTACTAATACAACATCCAACATCATGAATTATCCTATGATTCGTTCATGATTCATTTTTATTTTCTTGATAGTTATCTGCGCACAAAAATTTAAAACTCTTTTGTCGTCTACTTCCCGAGGGCAGTCATTTTGAACAAGTTATGTAGATTTTCAAACAAGATATTTTCTCGTAAAAGCAGATTTTTCTAATATAAAGATTATATATACATATATATATATATATATATGTATATGTAATTATTTTACTATAAAGATTGCATTATTCAGATAGTGACATAAATTGACAATTCTATTATATTTATCTGTAATGTTACGTCATTGTTTGACTAATTCAAGCTTTATATTAAAACGTTAGTCATAAGTCGTCATGCTTTTGCGAAAAAATATTTAGAAAGTTTAATTAAATTATATAATAAGAAAAAAATAAATTATATTCTAATATTAATATTTATAAAATACTTTTCGGTTTGTCATAAAACAGTATTATATAATATATTTCTCTCAGAATTTTTATGTTCTTTTTTCAAAATGATTTCTTCTTTGTATAAAATTTATTTAAACTGATAACAAGAAATCAATTGGGAGTCCAATTACATAATTATGAATATAAAAGAGTATTTTCCTCGAAATGCGCGACCAATAAATTATTGATTAGTTTATGAATTATTAATTCTTTATGACTTATGAATATGACATAAATTATAATGTATACACTTTCTATTGTATAATGGATTCGTTAACCTGTAATTATTATCATACTCAGCGTAATACAATGTAATAGACTTTAATCACTGTCATGTAAAGCTGCACATCAAATTAGCCATTACATTGTTCAATAAAGGCATATAGTCAAATATTACTGTAATAATCAAATATAACTATAATAATTGTTAGAGAGAGAGTATCACGTTGAAATCTAAGTTAGTTTAACAGTTACAAATTATCTCTGTGGATAAACCAGTAGATACTGCAAAGTAGATTGAAGCTATTGACGCTCGTACTTGAAGGCATTAATCCAAGCAAACTTGTTCTGAGCGAATATAATACGATATATGTTAAATGGAGATTACATTATACACGATAGCTTTTTAACGCGATTTTATTCAACAATGTAACGTGCTAAATATTTATATATCTAAAGGATATTTCGGTTTTAATTGATACATTTCTGATAAAATGTTATTAATATTTATTTTATATGTCATTCAGTTATTGTGACAAATTAGTATTATTATTTTAAATTTCAATGCATACCAGCATATTATTTTAAGTTAGAAACAATTAATTTGTTCTCTAAAAAGTGTACAAAGTGTGTGTATTTCATAAAACTGTGATAAAAAAAATTTTCTTTGCAAAATTATAAAATTTAAGATACTGTTGGTACGTGCCCTGAAAAATACAATTTTATACAAAAGATTTGAATTTGTTGCTGCAAACAACATAATGAGTAATGTTATGGAAAAAAAAAATATATATTTTTATATATATATATGCATATAATTAGTTCAAAGAAAAAGTGTAGTATTAATATTTTTATAGATTTTTAAAATAAAGACAAATATTTTTATACATTCTTTAAATAAATATTTCTATTGCATTTATTCCACAGAACTGATAGTTTATAGAATAAATTAGATTTTTGTCATTTGTTTTACACTTATTCTTATCTTTATTCTTATCAAAATATAGACGAGCGTTTTTTTATACGATACGTGATTTCTATCGTACGCATTTCAGATAATTCATTTTTTTATTACGTAATTCTGTTACTTATAGAATATAGATAATTTTAAAGAAAGTACTGAATATTTTGCTTAAACATTAATCGTTTTCTGTTAAAAATAATAATTGCATTCAAGTTTATTCAACTTCACTTAAAGTGACTAGATTTATTCTAAATGACTAGAGTTTTTCAATAAAACTAGAATTTAAATGACTAGATTTAGAGTTATTTGATTTATGCCCAATTTCTTCACTTCTAGATAAGTTACGGATAACTTTATCCAGAAGATATTCCATTGTATTCTGGGAGATATCTTCTAGATAAAGGTTATCTAGAGGTGAAGAAATTGAGCATTAATGAGTTGGTGATGAAACAGGATTAAAGAGATACTCGATATTGAAACAGTAGAATGTTTATATCCGCATGAGTTTTTGTTTCGACCTTACACTTTTTCCTGCGACCATGGTGAGCTCATCATCGCTGAACGATATTCGTAACATTTAACTAATTATAATATGTAAGATCTTGAGCGATATACGGATGATTGAGGTAACAGATTGATTATTATTGTAAATGTGTGATATCAGATATTGTTACATATTCTATATTCTTATTCAGAGTTGTATGCAAAATATGTGTGATACATATCGCCTATTTTAGCATTAATTCGATTGTTCAAAGATATTATATTTAAGTCATTAAAATAAACATTGTATTGTTTAAAACTAAAACGTCTATTTGAAGTGAATATAGAAACTAGTTACGACAGTTTTTCTTAACATTTTCGATAATCTGTTTGAAACAGAAAATGAATGCAGTCGATATCCGCATTAGAAATTAGAAAGCGCCTCAAGGAAAGACAAAAAGAATATTATTAGCCAGTTTCAATGCAGTTCCGTCATATTTCTATGTTCTGTATGCTCATCTCCTCATTTATGTCTATTCCAGATCGTGGCTGTATCTATTCTGCGCGCGATGTCATGGTCGCGACGACACTCCATCGTGGGAGCCACCAGGATGGAGAAAAGCATGCCCACAGCCGTTCTGTCCAACGTACAGAAAATTCGCTCGAGTTGTGTGCCTCTTTCTTCTGGGTTTGTTGCTCTGGGGTGTAGTCTATTCGATAATCGGCAATGACGCCGCCCCAGGTGGCCAGCTGTTCGGATTGGCCGCTGTGTGTATCGCCGCGCATTTTGGAGGTTGGTTGTTCTCTTTGACCACCCTTCCGGCCTTGATTGGTATGCTGATTACTGGTTTAATATTGCAAAATGTCGGGCTCGTCAAAATCGAAGGACAATATACAGTGGTGATCGCTAATCTACGGTGAGTTTGTTTCTGTGAAGTTTTTAAATCGATGTGAGATTTTTGCCGAATATCTGATCATTTTATAATTTAAATAAAAGAAGTTTTCAATATATTATATAAAATTATTAGATGTCAGTTACAATTTCTTAATTTAATTTAAAAATTGATAAAAAATATTTCAGTAATGGTGATTGGACAAAAAGGGAGATATTAATTTATAAGATTGTATATTATTGTAGTATTATATATTAAAATTTAATTTGGATTTTATTATATTTGTAAAATTATTTATTTTATTCTAATTGATCAAAAAATTAATTTATTAAATTTTAAATAATTAATCAATAATTATTGTATAAAAAGTTATTTTAAAAAATTTATTTAATTAAAGAGTGAAAGAGGTCATCTCGATGAAAGATTATAGTAATCAGGGGTGGGCAAAATACTAAAAAAATTATATTTAAATACAAAACACTCAAAAAAATGTATTTAAATACATGATTTTTTATTCTTTTTTAAATATGAAACACTTTTTTCCAATTTGATTCAAAAACTTATTTAATGCAGGGGTGGGAAAAATATATTAAAATCGTATTTAAATATAAAATACCTTTTAAAACATATATTTAAAGAAAAATAAACGTACAGCTTTACCGATGTTCTCATTCTAAAGCTTGGATACCGCGTGTCGCTCACTACGAACATCGCGTTAGTACCGGTCTGCAACCGGTATAACAGTGACAAGAGCTGCGTCTTTTATCTTCCTGTCACTCTAATCTTTTCGAATCCATGCAGCCCGAGCCAACCAAAAGATTCGGATCACGTGGCGACTCTCTTCTTAGGAACGTTCCGATTCACTACCAGTGCTGAAAATTTATAGGGTGCGTCACCAAAATCTGGACAAATTTCAATTTCAATTTTCCGCTATATTGTGTCTCCGCCAGAGGATGTTGTTGATTTTCCGAGAAAGTCTGATGCTTCTAGTAAAGTTCTAGTTGAAACCAAGTGCGGACTATAATCGAAAGAGCCGCGATCATCGATGGCCTTTGCGTTGGGCTCTCATCAAAATGCCAAAATCAACCGGACGAATGACCGATGGCTACAATCCCGCCTACAACCCCGAGGATGTCCCTGTTGTTGCTAGAACGAAATTTCCAGTCAATGTTCACGTGCTAGGTGTCGTGTCCAGTGAGGGTGAGATGTCATGCCACCACATTTCTTAAAAAAGGGGGAAACTGTCCTAAAAGAAAAGTGTACTTGCGCGTTCTAATGGATGTAGTGAAGCCGTGGATGGAAAATGTGGCTTCGGAAGACCATATGTTTTTCAACAAGACGGTGCACTGGCTCATACGAGTCATTTGATTCAAAATTAGCTCTCAGACAATGTCGATGTTTTGGTCCAAGGAATTCTGGCCTCCCAACAGCCCAGATTTAAATCCTTTGGACTACTAACGTACGGAGCGTAGTTGAAAGGGTCACTAACAAGCCTCGGCATCCTAATGTGACGTCATTGAGGACCGCTATTGGGGCAGCATTCGTCGGCATGAACAGCGCTACATTACAGCGTGCGTGCGAACGCTTCAGACCGAGAATAGAGGCCGTCATTCAAGCTAATGGGGGATGTATCGAATAATTATGCTCTATAGGGACCCCAAGTGCCACGTAAAAGGATTTTTTGTAATATTTAATTTTTCATTAAAAACATTTTGTTTAAAGAAATTGTTTGTATTGTCCGGATTTTGGTGACGCACCTGTATAGCGCACGTAGCGTATACTGTATAGTTTCAGCATTGGCAGTGAATATCGGAACGCCCCAATTATAGGTTCTCTTGTTTTTTATCCCGGATTCCCGGACATCATCGAGAATCTGATGTATTTAATATTTACAACAAATTTAAAATACAAAATACTCAAAAAAAGTATTTAAATACAAAATACAAAAATATATCTAAATACGTATTTAAATACCGACAATCGTTTGACGCGCAGTTTGGAGGGACTATATATATTAGTATATAAATTCGAAATTATATATAAGTATTTAAAAAGATCCAAGCTAGACTGTTATAGGCTTCGTATTAGTTAAATACATTGTATTTTAAATGCTGCCCATCCCTGATAGTAATATAATTTATGAGTTTCAGACTTGAAAGATGGAAAAGAAAAATGTTGAAGGTGAAATGTGGCAATTATCTGAAAGATAATGTTTTTCAAAGTAAAATTGTAACTTAAACATTAAAATAAAAAACTATTAGTCATGTAAGGTTTTTATCTTTTTTATCTACAAGCAATATTATATCTATAACAATCATTTGTTATTAGTATAATATACTATGTAATTAGTATAAATACTTTTTATAATCTTATTATTTCACTATTTTAACATTGACGATGATTTAATAAAGACGTCTGTCATAATCATTTGTATATTATTATCATGATCGTTTATGTACTTTATGTAATATATGGTAGTTTTATATATCGTTATATCATCATACATTAAAATTTAGCTTATAGTCTTTTGTTTTATTTGAGTTTTAATCCACTGAGTTTTTCTATTCGATATACTGTTTTTAAAAATATTAACATAAATCTCTTTCGAATGAATAAAATAATGAAATTTGATCGCGACGTCTTTCATCTGAGATACATAAATCAATAGAAAATGAATGTTTTATGAAAACCCCCTTATTTTTAATAAAAGATAGAAATTTTACTAACAATTATGTTCTACATAATTTTGAATAGAATCAATCTCTATATTTAAAAACGCGCATCAAATTTTATTTAATAAGCGAAGACTAGCATATAGGACTTTTGTTGGACCAATTTCTTACGTAATCTCGAGGTTAAATCGCTTCTTTTTATTGCAAACTATGCGTTTTATTGCACACTTGCGTGTCATTATTGAAAAAACATGTCATTATTGACAACGACAACGATGACGATTACTTGAAGGTCTCTCGAAAGTTTCCGAGATAACGATCAATTCATCATAATCGCAAGGTGGCCGCTTTTTAAGATCGAGGTCTAACAACGGTGATTCGCCATAAACACGCACGACGACGGTTCTATGTACAGCATAACAAGTGTGGCTTTAGCTCAGTAATCAAATTCAAGCTGCATCCTCGCTAACGAATGTTGCTTACAAAAAGGTCAGATAAGATGCACCTAGTTTCTCACAATCAGTTGTCTTTCCCTCGCGCGCGGTGACTCTTCAAGGTTTTCCCACATATTTTATAATGGAAGAATTTATTCATAATCTTACGCAGGCTGCGTCAGTCTTTGACCTCAGCAGTTTGCTGTGCGTTCTTCGTAAAAAGAAAAACCGATAAAGCGCATCCGAGCTTGCTCCAGTATAATTTGTTTGCATTAATATCGAGTTGAAAACACAATGAGGTGCGCGTTTAGATACGAAAAATATTATGCAAATTAACCCTTTACTTTCCGCGCGTGTACTTGACTCACTTTCCTGCACTGATCGATGTCATCACGGTGTCATTATCGAAATTGATGAAACCGTCAACTTTGTCTCCTTCGGCAATCTTTAGAACTAGTTTGCCACAGGATTATAACTTCTTAATCCATGCATATTTGATATATATTACTTTGCAAGTAACATTAGATTCCCGTCGTACGATACTAAGTTACTACGAACATATATCACGAATTAATACTCGAAGAATATGTTTGAAATATTTCGAGTTTGAAATATCCTTTACTAAACGGTCTGTGAAACTTTTCACGTAATAACGCGAAGTTAAAGGACGAAATTAAACAATTCCATTAATACGGAATGACAGTAATTATCACTATTACGTCGATTATCGTTGATTATGGCGCTAAGATTTCTATTCCTTCCGTTTCGAAATAGATTTCTCGCAATTGTGTCAGAATTTGCTCAATCATCATCCTTTCGATTGGTCAAATTCGCTTTATGACTTGAATAGCTTACTAATGACAGAGAAGCACAGCTAGAATTATTAATGCTGGTGTGCCATGGATTACTGAAACACTATACCTGGTTTTGCTAGGAATTTAATCAACGCAACAACTTTATCGGTTATTGGCAATCACGAAATATTGCTCTTTCATTAAAAAAAAAAAAACATGAAATTCTCTTTTACATTCAGTTTATAATTGCTCACTTTGTTGCAAACTTTTTTGGAAATTTTACCAAAATTTTAAATAACAGCTGGTTGAACTTTTTTAAAATCAGCCAATATACTTCACAGTTCTCATAATAAAAATTATGAATTACGTTTGTTACACACATGTTGTAAGTCGTATCAACGGATACGTTAATTCTTCGGTAATGTGAAATTTTCTCTTTGTTCTGCAATCTGGGCCTTTAAACTTCAATATAGATTTTTACGTTGTATGTTTCGCACGGACAGTATCAAGAAACTAAAAAAAATTCTCAGTTGTGAAAACTTTAATAAGTTTTTACTCTTATAAGAATTAATTTATATACCTCGTTAATTTTTTATATTTAAGTTTATTTATCAGACAATGCCACAGAGCTGTCTAAGCTGGATCACGGGTGCTTCTAAATAATTGTATGTATACTACGAATGTAATTCTTCGATTGCGCGCGCCGAAATTTTTTTAGACTTGAAACGCAACACTAATAAACTACCGCAGTAATATCACGAGTTTAAATTGTCTAACTATTGATAGACTATAAATGATGTCAATTTTTTCGACGTCGATTTGATGATTTCGACGTCGAATCGACATCAATTCGATTCCATTGTCATTTCTCATGTCGTTTTCTACATGGAGACTCACGATTATGAAAAGATAATGTAATATTTGTATACTGATTTTTGCGTAAAACTGTTGTCTGAAGAAGGCTCAATCCAGGAGCCGAAATTTGTAACGTTATTGTATATAGTTTAGTTAAGTAGTTGTGTTTTTATATTTATGGATTAATTATATGTTTGTAAAAATCTGTTTTAACTAGACGTTACATTAATTTGATTGTTTGACTCTTACATTGCCGTTTTCTTATTTAT